TTAATGAAAATTTCGTTGTTGAAAAGAGTCCCTCCGCTGAGTCATTTCTCTTGATTCTCTATATGTCCAATAGGAATTCTCCATGAATTAAAGAATAACACATTTCTGTCTGTCTGGTCACACGCGTACTTGTCTTGCATCTTTATACAAAAGACAACAGATCCCATAGGATCGTAGTTTCATCAATACATATCAAAGTGTCTAGGGGTCAAGATCACAGATAAGAGGTTGGAAAATGGGTTAAGAAAAACAAGATAAGAAAGAAGAGGGGGGGGCGTATGAAAGTACTGATGAGCGAAACCAGTTAGAACCAAGCTTCGTAATGTTTTCAACCCCCCTCCCACTTTCTTCCTAACTCACTTCTGATTAAAAAAAATGTAATCCTTTATGCTCTACGTAAATATGTATGACAAGTATATGTGTGATAAGAGTGTCCAAAGTGTGTTACGCAAACACACTGCACCTTTCAGATAAATTACTTCCACTTATTGTTTGATGAATTTTTCAAAAAAAAGGGAAGTAATTACTTTAAATATCAAGTAATTTCCGATCGGAAGGTTCCAGAGTTTACAGGGAAATCTAACAAAACTGTTGAGTTGAAATATATTGACTGAAACTATTTCTATTATGAAATCAGAATAAAGTCTGTCCTACCTCATGTATTACATACAGTTCCTACAATTGTTCTTATTCCTTTACATTCCCTGTGGAACATAGGGTTTCAGTGGCAGTGGTGTTTATTTTTATGCTATGGGATTGCTAGCCTTCATATGCCCAAGCTTTCCTTTTAACCAGTCTTACTAATAGCTGAGCGAGATAAAGGTGTGTGTCGGCGAGGGATCGAACCCCGGACCACATGCGTGGTTGACGAGCGTTCTACCGTCGTGCCACCGACGCACAGTTCCCACAGTATTACCTTTTTAATAGCCTAGTTTGTTTCTTTCGTAGGAAAGGGTATATACCCAGTTCATAAATGGAATGTTTAAAGTAGCGACGATGTGATTTATTATCATTATATTAATACTCTTGTTCTCCTTGGTTGCAAGTGGAACATACGGATTCGATAGCATGTCTCCAATTTGTTCTATTCTCCACGGTATTCTTTAGCTGATCCCATGACTGCCCATAGTCTGTTGTCTCCTCCTCGAAAGGTCTCCTCTATGTCACTCTTGGATGTTTAACTTGTCGCTCCCTATTTGGGTTCCATTTGAACGATGACCTGGCGAGCGATTTCATTAGACAGTCTCCTCAGACCGTCCCCTATCAATCTCCAATTCCCTCTCCGTATTTGCTAAGCAATGGGCTCTTGGTTGCTTTGTTGTCAGGCAGCGTTTTTGGTGCTAATTCTTCCTAGAGGTTTGTTCTTCAATATGGAGCTGATATGTATCAATATATATATATATATATATATATATATATATATATATATGTATGGTGGTCTCTCTTTCTGTTGCTCGCTTAGTCTGTGACCATTTCACTTTGATGAACCTGTCTCCTTTAACAATGTATATTCCCCTTATATTATATATAATATGAGTGTTTGTTGACAGTCCGTTGCTTGGTGACAGATATCCATATTATATGTGTGATTGTTGACATGTCTGCTATATTTTGCTATGTATATATGGATCGATACTTCATTATAATTAGCCATTCATGTTAAGACTGTCCATTGATTTGTTCACACACTTGTCTGGACATTCATATATATTTCGCTCACACCATCTTGTGTGTCTACTTACTTTGGCGTGATACCACTTTTGCATACTCCTTGTGTTTGGAAAATATAAGTATCATCGCAAAACCTAGTGGTCTTCTGATTTCCGCCTTCTTGCGTCAGGACTATTAAATTCTCGACCAGTACATAACAATAATTTGGCGACGAATACATAACAGGAGCTAGCAAAGGTGGCAGCTGTTGACAAAAGTTTGAAGTAGTCTTATTAGTATATGTGTAAAACTTGGACACTGTGGTAGTAAGTAATTCCATATTAGTTTGTTTATTAGATGTATCACACAGTGATGAGACAGTATTATTTACTGGATGACGTTTCGAATACAATCTATTATTGTCCATAATCATATCAATTGTAACCACACGACTTCGAAACTTGAGTTTTATAGTTTTTTTGGCTCTTTCCTATATTTGTCGTCGTTGGGGTAGTAGAATTTTCCAGATATCCGAGTGGATAGGTGTTGAACCATTCCTACTGCACGTATTTGCAGTTGATTCGATAAACAAAGCTTCCGTAGACATCAATCTTTCCCTCCATCTTGCTGGTACATTAGATTTTACAACTGTCATTCTATCCCATCCATTCTATTTCATGGGTTGTGTGTAATTGCATGTAGTGTGTGCTATAGCTGAACTATTTTCTAGATTTCCTATCTTGTTCGGGTCTACTAATCTAGATCTTGCTGATAAGCTTTTGTGCTCCGCTAGTCTGACTGCCCCTTTTCTACTACTTTGACCTATGTATTTGATCTGAAAATCATTGCAATAAGGGTATTAGATAAACTAAATTGTTTTGTTTTATTGGCTCCACAGAACTGATTCTTTAACCGACCAAGCATCTTTCTAATTGAGTTTGTGGGTTTGAATGCCAGACACTTTTATTCCTGCCTGCCTTGTTAAGAATTACGAGTAAGGTTTCCGAGATTCCTTCCTTGTATGGAAGTACTAATGATGATTTAGATTCCTTGTTGTTGGTGCTGTCTTGCGCATGTTTGACATGCATTTTGTCACTAATATTACTACTGCTATTCTTATTTATTTTATTTTTACATTTCCTTACATATTTCCTGACTAATTTACCAGGGTAATTATTAAGTTTCATGGCTTCTCTTATATGTATCACTTCCTGTCTTAGATTTTCCTTGGTACTACTTAGATTTTGTGCTCTGTTGTCATTTAAGCATTTCACCAATCCTACTTTCACTGACACAGGATGGAATGATCGGAAGTCCAAATATCGGTTTGAATGTGTGGGTTTCCTGTGAGTCGGTGGCACAGTGGTTAGGACTCTCGTTGACCATGCACATGGTCCGGGTTCGAGCCACGCCGAACACACTGATATCTATGGTCAGCTGTGAAAATTGGGCTACCGATATCCACGCTGAAAATTCCATACTTGTACCAAAAACGGTGTGGAATCAAGCTGTAATCAAAATAAAATAAAACACCCTAGTGTGTTTAACTTCCCGTCTTCTATCCTTTTTACACTGCAATCTAACATTGGCACTTCCCCTTCTTGACTTTCTAATTCATCACTGAATTGAATTGCCTCCACCTTTGAGTTAATGTGTTCGAAAAATCTATCTACATATCCTGTGTTCTAAGTACAGTGATTGTGTCGTCTACATACCTCCACCATACGTTTGGGGTGTGGCTGAACATTTCAACTGCTATGTTTTCCCACCTATCCATGAAGATATCTGCCACAACCGGGGATTTTGATAATATCATGTCAACTGCCTCAGTTTGTTTGTATATTTTCCTTTGAAGGAATTTGAATACTGTGGTAGACAGACCACAGCTGTACTCCCAGCATTATGTCCTCAAGTGGCGCGTTCACAGATCACAGATCCATCTAATAAATAAACTAATAGGGTATTTGAATTAACCAGTTAGAAATGTTTTTCGTGACGTACCAATTTCATGATTTTATATATATATATATATATCAACGCCTGTGATAGGACCGATCATAGATAGTATACCATCCTTTCCCACGAAGTGTGTGATTTATCTTGTGATGGAGTTACTACGGGAATGTGTTTTGTATCACTATATCCAGTCAATACGATCAGTTCATTCTCACGGTTGTGAGCCGACTTTATTATGGTAAAGAAAATGTGTAAATATCATGTGTTGTTTCTTAAACTATATAGTATAGTACAACAATAAAATATCTTAGTGTCACAGGCAAGCCTTTGTCTTTTGATATTTGCGTGGCTCAGTGAATCGGAAGGCACAACGGACAAATAGAGACGTATTAGCATACCAGTCGAGTTCATTGCTGTTATAGTGTAATTAACAGGCTCAGACATAACAAAGTAGCAATGGATTTATTTAGTTCACTTCAGTCATAACAAATTGGCGGCGACGGGTCAGTTCAGTTATAACAGTCTGGCGAATTACACTTTTTTGTCCTTCCGAACACTGGACCATTCAGTAATATTGTTAACTAAACAACCAATCTGAGTGGTAAAATATATCAACCTTACACTAAGATTTGAGTTTTCACTGAATGTTTAGTTTCTTAATCAATTTTTCTACCTCCTTCCTATTGATCTGCCTTTTTCTAGTTTTTTGAATAAAAAAACAAAACATGAATCTTTTCTCGTCAGAACATTCTCTACTCACAGATCTGTCGGTGTGATACAATATAAACACTTTCTGTTCAGTTATCGGCATGATACTAAAACATAGCGGCACACATTATCATATAGAACAGAGTTGCACTTGGTTGGAGGTGACTGGCAGTGGAGTTAAGGACACACACTTTATCCTACTTAGGACTGGTCATCTGGACGTGTCTGCAGTTTGCACTAAGTGATTGGGCTCCCAATTATCCTCTTATATCCCTCGTAAACTAGTGCGTAAAACTTTGGCATTTGAGACAATAGATGCAACTTTGGAGTTTTAATGGGAACATTATCAATTAATGGACGGGGTTCGAGCCCACGCCGGCGCACACCTGATATCTATGGTCGGCCTGCAAAATTTGGGCTACCGATATCCATGCTGAAAATTCCATACTTGTACCAAAAATACAGTATGGAATCAAGCTGTAAATCAAAAAAAAAATCTAAAAATAAAGACGTGCAGATGCATCCAGATGAAGAATCCTAAATAGAACGAAGTCCGCATTCTGGATAACCTCATGTGCACACAACTGGCCAACGTGTCAACACGGATCGAACATTTGGGTCTAATGTAATGCAAAATTAACTTGGAAACAAATGATCATATATAAAACATTTAAAATTTAACTTACGTTCAACTCTGACTTGATCTCTTTCAATTATTTGACCAATAGAATTCAATGCTGTACACTGAAATACCCCGGTATGTCTACCTTGTGCATCAAATTGTGGTGAACCAATCTGTGTCCAATAATGACGACCAGAATGAATTATCAAGCCTTGCATTGATAACCAATGTGAACTTAATGAACTACGTGTACCGTTGAATCTATCAATAGACCATTGTAGACCACCTTCTGGGGGAGGATGTCCATAAAAGGTACAAATCAGCTAAAGAGAAAATGTAATTCATGAGATAAATTAATATCACTGCTTGTTAACATCAGAAAAAAGGAAATGAACGAATGTGGGTAAAAGTACATAAAGATTATTGAATTCAATTTTAGATTTTCCCTAGCGTCGATTGATTGGACCAAAAGTGCTCAGTCTAAGGTTCACATGTCATCTTCTTGTGCAGATGCTTCAAACGATGTCTGGGCATATAATGAGAAGTTAATTAGTGGATGGTGACTACCAGTGGAATCTAGGATACGCATTTCATCTTATTTAGGACTCGTCAACTGCATGCATCCACCAGTGGGTTCACCAAGGAATGCAAGTACATCCAGCCGAAGAGTCCCCAATAGGATTCCACTGTTAGTCACCATCCACCAATTAAGTACATAAAGATTAGTTGTTCTTCAGCTTCACAACGTCCAAATGCTTGTACCACACTTTATCCTTCTTTATCTCTGTGATGCGTGGCCTTTCAAAGTAGGGACAGCAAGAAGCCACCTTCATCTGGCCACAGTTGTTTAAGCTTTAGTACACCTAAAAATTGGTATAATGTGGTGTTAGATAAGAAGGAGAAATCAGTTGATGAAGCTGAGAAACTGGCTTGATCAAGATAGTTAAAACACTTAATACGCATGTAAGGCTATCAACTTCCTCGTCAAGAAATGTTATCTGACACAGCGTTGGGCTGGAAAAGAGTTAGCAGCGGTCATACTAAAACGTATTACCAATTCATGAAGTCTTCGACAGTTGATTTTAGTAAGGCGCTTAAAGCTGAAGACCGCGAGACGCTAAGAAATAATGACTTGAAAATGCTGACGATAGGCATCAGTATTGATCTTAATAGTGCAGATGAATTCGCTATTTAGGAAGTCGAAGATCCATCAAACTCCACTGATATATTTCTGTTCATTATATTTCCTTAGAAATTTCTCCCCTACTTTTGCGAGCCATATGCAGTGTGCCGATTAGGTCTGCTGCTGGGCTTTTGTTCATAGTTGTACTATGAGCAATCAATCAGCAAGACATCTGTACGTCTGTTATCACAACAGTCGAAGGGAATTCATATGTCTTTTCGAATATTATTCACGATTCCTTAACGAAGATGGGCTATCCGAGTGGTTTCATAAAAAAGATATTAAAAAACTCATGAAAAACCTAAGAATATGACTGCACGTAAAAAACCTCTATTTATTAAGTTACAATATAATGGTGACTTATTAAGTGAGATTTTATTTCAGAGACTTTTCAGGAGTATATAAGAACGTTTTATGTAGTAAACCTGTGTTTGCCATTCTCTAGCCGACGAATGACTGGGACGCAAACGAGGGATAAGCTTGATAGTTTTGCCACATCTATGTGTATTTATCAATTCAACTGCACCTGCAGTGACAGTTATGTTGGCCATACTACTAGACAGCTTAGCCAACGTGTTACTGAACATCTGCTATCGTGGTGGTTTGACAAAGGACAGACAAAACAATCCGTAGCTCAATTTTGTCACATTTAATTGATACTGGTCATATAGTGGAGAAAACGGGAGCCTTCAAAGTAATTCATCGTATCCCAACGAATCTTGCCAATAGACTTCGTATTCATCTACTGTGCACACAGCTAAGGCGATAGGTATTCCAACTATTAAACCTAAACTGTGCATTCAAAAGAAGTTCGTGGAGCCATTATCCCTCCCTGGCCTATTGAGACATGATGATTTCTTCACCGCACCTGTTTATATTTTCAATCCCTTTATTATCACCCCTTGATTCTATCACATCTTCATTAAAAACGTATTGGATTTACTCCCCTTACAATCTAGCATTACTTTATTGGTTCATTTGGTTTTACTAGCCTTTATCGACTATTACGCCTACCTGTTTAACCATGCTGTTTTTCATTATTCGTGTTATCACAGATCGCCTCACTTCTTCACCCTTGTTATCGATAGAACCTTTATTATTAATACGTCTTTTGCATTTCTATTCAACACTTTATCAGTAACCAACGAATGAGGTATACCTCAAAGTGTAGAGGAGTTCGACTGCAATTTCGAAATTTTCAGATTCTCATTGATGTCAGAGTGAACTTATTATTCGTCTGTAGTGGTGTTCAAACCACTCCGATCACCACTCCGGCAAGTATCACACCGACTGACGTGAGTCGTTTTCAGCTAACTATATTCATCAGAAGGATATAATTCCATGCCTCCGCTCAGATGCATACAGAACACTTGAATAAAATAAATCAGCGATATATATACGACGATTGTACATACGATATAACTTACTTCAAATGGTTGACCTTGAATAACACGAACATATCGATCCTCAGCATCTTGGAATATTTCATTGACATTTGAGAAGATACGTACTTCCGGAGTAATTGGTGTCTCAAAATCTTGAAGAAAAAAGAAAAACACATCAAACAAAAGTATTAAAAGTTGACAGGCAGTTATGCATAACTGTTTACATAATTAGTAAATGGAAATCTTCCAGTTGTATTTCTTTACCTATGGGCAGGCATTTATAATTTATAATGGATAGTGAAACAGACAGTGGGCAATGAGGAGACAGGTATAAAATCGACCCACACAAAATACTTGGAGGATCTGAATTTCGCCGATGATATTTGCCTGATTTCACACAAACTGGATGATATGCATGTGAAAAGCAACAAGTGTTCTCAGAAGAAGTACCAAAGATAGGACTTCCTTAAGGTGAACATAGAGAAAACAGAGGCGATGATGAAGATTCCTGTCCAACAGCGAGATCGACAACAAGACAACAATCAGCATCAATGGTAAGAGTCTGAAAGAAGCATTTCTCCTTCACTTACCTACCTACCTGTCTGGAAAGCATCGTTTCAACTACAGGCAGACGGAACTGATGAGGACATCATCAAGGCGAGTATCAGGAAGGCAAGTCAGGCCTTTATTACTCTCAAACCTATGCGGTGGAGGTCAACAGCACTCAGCATCAAAAATAAGATCCGTATTTTCAACTCCAATGTGAAGTCAGTGCTACTTACTGTACAGATCAGAAACTTGGAGCCATGTCACGAAGGGCACTTCGACCAAACTAAAGACCTTCATCAGCACCTGTCTTCACTCAATGCCTTGCTCCAGATCAGATGGCCGGCCAAAAAGATCAGCAACAGGGATCTGTGGTGATGAGTGAGCAAGAATCAATGGTATAACAAATATGCAGGAAGAAATGGAGGTGGATTGGTTGGCCATACTCTGAGAAAACAAACCACCAAGTGACATCACACTCTAGGTCGTCGGTCGAGTGGAAACCGAATGGGAAGCAGCGACTCTCGTTATCCATATCAAGTTGGAAATGATTGTCACCTTTTATTCTCCCTTAAAATTATTTCTTCAGTTATCAAATATTAACTTTGTACACATAATCTTGTCTCTAAGCCCCCTTGTTGTAATGTGTATTCATACCTTCAAACTTTCATATCAAGTTGAAACATTTTAATTATCTCCTTCGTTACTTTGTGGAATTAAATAAATAAATAAATAATAATTGTATCCATGTTAACTAATGTATATAAATGTGACTGTACAGCTAGCTGCTTTTGAGAATGAAATCTCCCAAAAGACAGATATCTGTGTTGCTGAACGTCTTGTTCTCTTCCCTCTAATGTTCCGGATGGGTATTTTCCACGAATTGAAAAAAAATACATATTCCACCCGTATTTTGTTCGACTGCCGTCATAAACACCACTCCAAGGATACCTTAGGAGGGGGAGAGGCATGAATGCTAGAAAGATTAGTACCCAATACTCAATTATCTATTCTTCTACAAGTTTGGATTTCCTAAATCCTTTTTATAAGAGAAGTATTTTTCAAAAAGTTAGCTTAGTTGAATAAAGCAGTAATACAAAAAAAAAATAATCGATTCCACACTTACCTGTAGGCATTAAATCATATGGGATGTACACTTGTTTCACAGATGATGAATACGGATTAACAGCTCTACATGTATAAATACCAGCATGAATTCTTGGATCAAATTTATCCACTCCATTATACATCCATTTCAATACAGCTGAATTAGGCGCAGCTGTTATCTGTTCCTGAATATATGTAGACAAATTAAAAAAGTTGAATATGATTAAAACTTTATTAAAATATAATGTGATTTGATTGAAGTTTTCAATCTAAAGCCTCAGAGTTTCAGTAGCAGCGGTGTTTATTTATACAGGATGCGATTGCTTGCCTCATGCCCAACAACCCTCCATCTTTACCAGTCCTGTTACTTACTGGCTTAGCGAGATAAAGTAGTGTGTCAGCTGGAGACAGAACCCTGGACCACATGAGTGGTCGGTGAGCATTCTAGCGTTGTGCCACCGACGCACGACTTGATTGAATAGTTTCAAATAAGAAAAAGGACAAAGTTAAAAGTTAGAATTTAATGGGCTGCCCATTGGATCAGGTCCCAGTGGTTTAATGGTCTACGAGCTCGCTTGCCTTGTAGCCCAGAAGGTCCTGGATTCGTTACCCTGTCGTGGGTGCATACTGATAAAGAGTCCCAAACTAGGATGAAGCAGCTTTCCAGTACTCCCGGGTGGGTTTTGTAGTGGTTCTGTAACCGATGTCAGCTCATGATGGAAACTTTAGAACAACTAAACAAAATTCCCCTACAAAACCAATACTTGATAAAGACGATTTGTCTACAATATTAGATATTCCGCACGGATACGAGGACACATTCCAGCCGCATGGTTTTACAAGGGAAAAAGGAAAGTGTGTGCGAAGCTCTATTCTGGAACACTTGATCGACTTCTGTCGCTCTGTCAACCCTGACCATGATTTCAAGATCATATATAGAACCCATGCTAACTTGCTAGTTTTGTTTTTTTCGTTACAGACTTCGAAAGAAAGCTAAGGCCTTAGAAATTCATGACTTTAAGCAAGACCTTTGTATACAAAAGAAGTATGTACAATCCCTACTTCTGCCTTGGCTGTAGAGGGATAGACATTTATTTATTTTGTTTATTTAGATATTCTATCTACTGTTCCCTTATTACTACGATTATTATTATTACTATTCTCACTCTGAATCTTTTCCACTTGACATTTTAAACCCAAATTATTAGTTTTTATAGTTTTATTTTATTTTTACAATATCGAATTCTATCTTATTAAATTTCACACCATGTTATGTAACATTTTATATTCGTCTACTAATCTTATAATTATGTATACCTTTTCAAAATCTATACACCTTGTGTATTATATAATATTATATATATATATGTGTATTGTATATATGACATTAATTATTTTGCCACTTGGCATTAAGCCATGACTATAATCACAAATACTTTAATTGCATTTCATACCACTACTTTATTATTATTTCATGTATTCACACCTTTGGCCTAATTCCCTCACCGGATATAATTTCTTAAAGAAAACCATATATATAAACGATGGTACAGCTTAATACTAAATTCGATGTTGAAAAGAGTCTCTTCGCTGAATATTAATATTAGATTAGGCATAGGTTAGGATATCTCCATGTATGGAACTACCAGAGGCCATAAAACAAGGTACCCAGTCAGACCAATGGTTGATTATAGGAACAAGTTATCATTTTAGGTGTTTAAATATTTAACATTTGCATTACGTCCTACTGGAATTATCTCGTAAGAGGATGTCAGAAGAGAAAAGAACGGAAAAGGGTTTAGTTTTGATGTCACGAATTTATATACCAATATTCTGACTTTAGTAGGTCTGAAAGCGATGAGATTATTATTATTATTGTATCCTTTAGTTCCTAGAGGAACATAGGGCTTCAGCTGCGCACCTCCATTGCCTTCGGTTTTCTGACAACTTTTTCACCCTGCCCCAGGTCTGTCCACATGCTTTCATCTCCTCCTCGCATGACCTCCTCCAAGTCACCCTTGGACGACCAACTCGCCGCCTCCCTTTCGGGTTCCACTCGAGGGCTTGTCTAGTGATGTCACTTGATGGTTTCCTAAGCGTATGGCCAATCCATCTCCATTTCTTTCTGCCTATTTGTTTCACAATCGGTTTCTGATTGGTTCGCTCCCAGAGACCCCTGTTGCTGATCTTTTCTGGCCGGCCATATGATCTTGAGTATTGAGTGGAGACAGCTGTTAATGAAGGTTTGAAGTTTGTTTGAGATGCTCTTTATGACTCGCCAAGTCTCTGATCCGTATAGTAGCACTGACTTCACATTGGAGTTGAAAATCCGGATCTTATTTTTGATGCTGAGTGCTGTTGACCTCCACACAGATTTGAGAGTAATGAAAGCTTGTCTTGCTTTTCCGATTCTGGCTTTGATGTCCTCGTCAGTTCCGCCTGTAGTTGAGACGATGCTTCCCAGGTAGGTGAAGGAGGTTGTTTCTTTCAGGTTCTTCCCACTTATGCTGATTGTTGTCTGTTGTTGTTGTTGCTGTTGATGTTGGCTAGGAATCTTCATCATCTCTGTTTTATCTATGTTCACGTGAAGTCCTATCTTTGGATGCTTCTTCTGCCAACTTGTTACTTTTCACTTGCATATCTTCCAGTTTATGGGAAATCAGACATATATCATCGGCGAAATCCAGATCCTCCAAGTCTTTTGTGTCAGTCCATTTTATGCCTGTTCCCTCGTTGGTTGCCGTTGTCTGTCGCATTATCCAGTCAATTGCAATCAGGAAGATCATTGGTGATAGTAGACAGCCTTGCCTCACTCCCGTCCTCACTTCGAAGGCTTCCGTAAGTTTCCCGTTGTGGATTACTTGGCATGCAGCATTGTCGTATAACTGTTGGATGAGATGTATAATTGTCGATGGCACCCCGTAATAGCGAAGTAGTTTCCAAATGACCTCTCGATCGACGCTGTCGAAGGCCTATTCAAAGTCGATGAAGTTGAGATAGAGAGGTGACTGCCATTCCAAGCTTTGTTCAGAAAGCGATGAGAAACAAGCTAAAAGTTGACTGTAAACTCAAAAATATAACGAAGCTGTGAAGGAAAGAAATAATCTCAAGGTACATCTACAGTCTTCAAATTTCAAGGCAAAATATAAGTATTATTGTTCCCTTAGGTTCCAAGTGGAATATAAGGCTTCAACAGCACATATCCAAGTCCTCATCAGTTGACTCCATGATTTCCCATAAGTTTTCATTTGCTCTCCTACACGACCTCGTGTACGTCAACCTTGGGAATACACTTAAATTTTCATTTTCCATCTGGGTTCCGCCAGGGGGTGCGATGAGCATTGTCATTCAACGGTCTCCTCAGTGTGTCTTCGACTCTTCTCCATTTCTTCTACATATTTCTTGATTAGTCGGTCTCTAATTTGTTAGTTCCCAGAGTTTCCTGTTCCTAATTTTCTCCGGTTAACCATTTGACCTTCAATATGGAACCAACGAAGACAGCTGTTTGAAAGGCTTTACATGATGTACGTGACAAGTTTCAGACACGTATAGAAGCATTGACTGACTTAACGTAGGTGTTGAAAACCCAAAGCTTGTTCTTTTAAGCTGATCTCAGAGTGATAAAAATCTGCCTTTATCTTCCTTATTCTGGTTTTGTTATGATGCTAGATCTTTGTCACGAGGTAACTGCTTAACTACTGACCAGTGCCCACTTAACTGGTAAAGAAGAACACGCGATAATCAGCGGTAAAACCATCGAATCCCGGTGGGTGCGTACTGATGAGGAGTCCCAAACTAGGACGAAACGGCTGTCCAGTACTCCCAGGTTTCAATGGTTCTCTAACTGATGTCAGCTCATGATTAAATCCTCCATGCAATCAAAACCAGAATCATTTATTTATGACAAAAGTGACTGTATTTATACAAAAATAAGGCAGACTGGAAATCAACCAATCCGGTTGAGAGTTTGGAATAGTGCAAGCGTCCAATCAGAAAGCAGAAACAAATGCATGTCAACGACACGCTAATAACTTGATAATTGCATGTATTTTGCCTCTTTCTAACAGGTTTAAACATTCTCATCCATGCTGTCTGCTATAGTTGAAAATAATGGTTTCTAGATAAGCAAAGGAAATCACCTCGCATTCCATTAAAAGGGGAAAATTTTTTTTTGATAAAGTCTTAGCGGTATACAGTAGTATTTACTGATGACGTTTCAAGCATTATTTATTGCTTATAGTCATTGCTTAAAGTCATGCACACAACTTTCTAACTTGGTTTATACAACATTCCCAAGGCGTCATGTTAATTAATATCTTTCTGATATTATCTCTGAAAAACAGAAGTTGTATGAATAAGGCCTTTTTTTGAAACTATTGGTACCTTGCTTTGATAAAGTCTCACAGTGTTATACAGTAATGTTTACTGATGACCAGGTTTCGAGCACAATTTATTGCCAATCATATCATATCACACGACTTCCTAAATTCATTTATATAGTTCTATTGTTTTTCTCTTGATTTTCACTTGATTTGATTGGTAATAGTATTTTCCATATTTCAGGTATGAGTGATGAGTCATTCCTATTGCATGTGTTGGGTGTAGACTCGATGAACCAGGCGGGATTCAGTAATCAACCTCTCTCTCCACCTATCTAGATTACTTTTTAGAATTTTAACCCTCTCCCATCATCCTATTGTGTGGTTGTGTGTTAGCGCATGCATTGCAATCTCGGGGTCAACCATTCTTACCTTAGCTAAATTTTTATGCTCTGACAATCTGACTACCCCTGACCTACTAGTTTGACCTATGTAGTTGACTTAACTTAGTCATTGCAGGGTATTTTGTAAATGACATTATTTTGTCTAATTGGGTCAACTGACAGGGTCCTTTAGCCTACAGGGTTTGTTTCTGAGTGAGTTTGTAGGTTTGACCCCATGGAGATAAGTAATTTAGAAAAAAGCTCAGCGATTGCAATCCATGCGCTAACACACAACCACACATTAGGGTGGGAGAGGGTTAAAATTCTAAAAAGTAATATAGATAGGTGGAGAGAGAGAGGTTGATTACTGAATCCCGCCTGGTTCATCGAGTCTACACCAAACACATGCAATAAGAATGACTCATCACTCATACCTGAAATATGGAAAATACTATTACCAGTCAAATCAAGTGAAAATCAAGA